GCAATGGTTCTCCAAGTTCTCAAGTGCATTACTTGAACAAGACTTCAAACAAGCTGCCTCAGACAACTCCTTGTTTATTAAAAGGAATGGAGTCTCTTTCATTGCATTGCTAGTCTATGTAGATGATATTGTTATTGCCACTAACAATGAGACTCTAGTAGAGGATTTCAAAACTTTTCTTGACAGCCGTTTTAAACTCAAGGACTTGGGAAGATTGAAATATTTCCCGGGGATAGAAGTGGCTAGATCAAATACAGGCATCTCTTTAAGCCAGAGGCATTATGCCTTACAGCTCCTCTCGGACAGTGGTTATCTTGGATGCAAAACTAGGAAGACCCCCATGGATCCCAATGTGAAACTTTCCCAAGATGAGGGAGAATTACTTGATGATCCATCTCAGTATAGAAGAATTATTGGGAAGCTTCTATACCTCACAATAACAAGACCAGACTTGTCATACTCTGTTAACAAGTTAAGCCAATTTCTTGCCCAACCGAGAGCCCCTCATTTGAAGGCTGTACAACGGGTTCTTCAATATGTCAAGGCAATAGTTGGACAAGGGATCTTCTTTTCTGCCAGCTCCTCAGTCCATTTGAGAGGTTTCGCTGACTCAGACTGGGCTTCTTGTCCGGATAGTAGGAGATCCATTAGTGGTTTTTGCATCTTCCTTGGGGACTCACTGGTTTCCTGGAAATCCAAGAAGCAACATACTGTTGCAAGGTCTACGGCTGAGGCAGAATACAGATCAATGGCCAATGCAACATGTGAGCTTATGTGGCTGCTCTCCTTGCTCAAGGATCTGGAAATCGACCATTCCAAGCCTACAGTTTTGTATTGTGATAATGAGGCTGCTCTCCATATAGCAGCCAATCCAGTTTTTCATGAAAGGACCAAGCATATAGAGATTGACTGCCACCTTGTTAGAGAGAAAATCCTGAATGGAACCTTGAAGACCCTACATGTAGCTTCACAACATCAAGTGGCAGATATACTGACAAAGCCACTCTTCCCATCTCAGTTTGCTACTCTTCTAGGCAAGATGGGAATTCAAAACATTCATTCTCCATCTTGAGGGGGAGTATTAAGAGTTTGGTATCATGGGGTGGAAATTGTAAATATGGATAGATTAGGTGTCAATCTGTAAATAGGAGTAAGTAGATTGCTTTTTTTTCTATTTTTTGTTTTCTTGCTGAGTTGGAGATCTATTGCAACAGGATCTTTTTCCTGCTTCTTTCCGTTTTGTATAAGGACCTTTTTGGTTTTTTTTTCAGCAAGCAATTCAGTGAGTGCTTCATTTTTTCCCACGTCTCTCGGTGGTGTTTGTTTCCTTTTTGTAATAAGGGAAAAATAAAAATATGAATTTTCTCTGTGAGAGAAAAGATCGAGGAAAATCCACAATGGATCTGGGTTCGCGGCAGATGTGTGATCACGAGATAGAAATAACCTAAGGAGGAGGTTTTTTTTTGTTAACATTTCATTATTCATAGGAGAAGGATGTTGCGTTTTAAAAATTGAAGGATAAAGTGTTATAAGGGATATAGTTGAAGAAAAGTTTTTATAATTAATCTAATTTTTTATCTTAATCACTCGTCAAATGCATGAAACACGCGTAGCGTCTTTTTTTTTGGTTGTTGTAAAGACTTAAAGAATACCAATTAGATGTCACGTAAATTATTCAAAAGCAAGTACAAAAAAGGCAAATTACTTGCTTACAAGCTTACTCGATAAGATAGCCTTTTAAACAACAAACTCGTTGGCGTCATAGTGACTGTGTCGTTTGATATTTAAATCGTCATTCATACGCTATATCTATATAAAGCCATATTAAGATTCTTCTTAAGGATTTTCTCTTTTCAGTAGTATCACATCTGCTAAAGAATATTACTGTCGTGACAGATCGTCATGCAAATCATATATCAATAATCAAATAAAATTGTGTGAGAGAGAGACGCCAACTTGCATACTTATTACTGTACTATCAAATGCCAGCTTCATTAAAAATGTCCCAAATCAACAATTTATTTATTGAATAGTGTATATTCCATACTTGCAATGATATATAAGTGGCAAAAAAAGAAAAAAAAAAAAAGAACGAAAGAAAGAAAAAAAAGTTATCCTATAATGATAAACTTCCGTACGTTAATACCAATCTTCCTCTGTGAATAAAGTCGTAACTTAGATACTATATAATAACTTTTTACCTCAAAGACATATTAAAGAGAGATTAGAAACGTATGTTATCTAGCCAATACAGCAACATAGATTTTCCGTGATAAAAAACACATACTAAAAATGAGTAGAAGTCACGAACATGCCATTTCCATGGAAGACCGCCCTGAGAAGGCTGTGCATCAAGGGAAAAGCACAAGCGCCGATGATGAAGTTATCATCGCCACGCTTCCAAAAAACGTGAAGGACTCTCCGGTTTACAAAAAATTGCAAAAGTCAATTGAGGCGAAGAAGGCGAAGAAATCCGAGGAAGAAGATATCAAAATGGCCGACGCTCGTGCAAAGGAAAAGCCGAAGATACAGAAGGTTCCGGCTGCACTAAAAGAAAAGGAGAAGTTCCGGAAGTACTACGAACCGCAGTGGATTTCAATTGGTCCTATCCATCACGGTAAAGAGAATCTAGTGCTGGCGGAGAATCAATACAAGCCTGAATTGGTAGCAAAATTCATCAACGACGGTGGTACGAGCATTGAAGCGCTCTACAACATCATTAAGGACAAAATCAAGGAGCTGAAGGAAAGTTTCGATAAAGATGTTATTAAGGGCTACGATGATGACACTCTTAGCTGGTTGTTGTTCTATGATGGGTGTTCAACTCTACAATTCATAAATAGCTATGTCAAGATCAATGGTAATGAGCTGAGAATCCTTTCCATAAAAAATGACCAAATAGCTTATGTTCAACAGGATTTGTTCTTGTTGGAGAACCAAATCCCTTTTGAAGTCCTAAAGCTGTTGATGGAGTCGCGCAAGGACGCTGAGATTCTGAAGAGTTCGGTCAAGGATTTTATTCGCTGCAATGTCATGACACCAAATAAGTACAAGAAGACTTTAGAGATCGAGCTTGAAACTGATCCGGAGCCAGCTCATCTTCTAGAGCTTCTTCGGTCTGCGATACTTCAACAACCCAGAGAGCATCCTAGGAGCAACCTAGGAGAAAAGCTCTCTCACTCTCTTGATAAAGCCATTACTTTATTTCCTTGTAAGAGTAAGTACTTTTTGCATCACCATTGTTTTTTATTTTTTAAAAAACAAATAGATAATAAAGCCATTACTTTATTTCATATATTAACTCTACGACTTGCACAATGTTGCACTTGTGGATTCAAATTCTGCCATTAAATGGGATGTACTAGTTGCTTCTGGTGCTAGTTGTCTGGTATCATGCTTTAAGAAAATAGTGATATTGAGAATTTTTCTCGGCTCAAACATAATAATCTATGCTTTTGCAGATTATTGGCCGCTCAATAAGTATTTTACAGAGGGCAACGACCAAGGCCAACAATCCTTTCGCAGTGTCCAAGATCTCATATCAGCCGGGATCGACCTAAAACCGAGTGGGAGTTGCTCATTGAGAGACATACGCTTTACTTCTCTATGTTTTGCAGGTTGGCTAAGACTTCCTCCGATAACGGTTGATGACTCGACAGGGCCTCGGTTCTTGAACCTAATTGCCTACGAGATGTGCCCCGACAATTTCAGGACTGATTATGAAGTTATCTCTTATATAAGCTTCCTAGATTCGCTCATCGATTATCCAGTTGATGTTAAAGAGCTAAGGTCATCTCACATTCTTCACAACCTTCTGGGTTGCGACAATGATGTGGCTCTGCTTTTCAATGAGATCGCTACTGATTTGGTGCCGAGCCAGGCAGTGTACAAGGATGTGATAGCCCAAATTCAAAGCCACTACAAGAGCAAGTGGAGGACATGGATGGCTCAAGTCTATCACGACCACTTCAGTAGCCCCTGGACTATAGTCGCGTTTCTGGCAGCGGTTGTGGCGCTCGGTATGTCGGGCATTCAGACTTGGTACACGGTTAAATCTTAATCTCCGTTGATGGAACGGGACAAATCAGCAGCATGATCTTAAGTTGTTTGAGGAGAAACCTCAATGCGATAGAAGTATATATCCCACTTTTTTTTCTTTTTTTTTTTTTTTTTTTTTTGAAATCTATCCCACTTTCATTTTGCAACAAATAAGTGGGGTTGAATACCGGCCTACTTATTAGCCTTTTTTTTCCCTTAAATTTCGAAGAAAAACGGGGTTGAATGCGTGCTTGTTTTCCCCATCAACTGTTTTTATTTCTTTTAATTGCATGATACCTGTGTATGTTCTCTTTAAATTTATATGGAAAATATCCTCACTAAAGATTAATAAATAATATATCTTCAAAGTTCTCTTTCTTTTTTCTTTGGTGAATTTAGGGTGTGGAATTTGAATTAATAAACAATTAGTGCGTTTGAAACTCATTTCAAAATGATTTTATTTGTTGTATGAAAATAGAAATGAAAACGTTTTCAATCTCATGCAGAAATCATTTTTAAAAATGTGTTTAGTAATTTTATTAAGAGATTATTTTTAGTATAAAAAATAAATTAATGTCTCACTCTCTCTCCTCGAGAGAGGAGAAAATGGAAACAAAAAATGAAAAACGACTAAAAGTCATTTTTCATTTCTCTCTCATTTTACACTAAACCAAAAAATCGTTTTTATTTTTATTTTTGTCTTTAATTGTTTCAAACGCCGTTTCTCTCCCGTTTTCATTTTTTTTTTCTCAAAAAAGTGAAAAACAGAGACAAAAACAACTCTGCCAATATATATCTCCAAAGTTCTCTTTCTTTTTTCTTTGTTGAATTTAGGGTGTAGGATTTGCATTCTACACCTTTAATGGAGTGAGATGTGTAGAGGTCACTAGTTGATATTTAAGGTTACTAGAACATCCTAAGTGTGTGGCACCCACTAACAATCTCATTATCCTCCATCAAATTCTTACTCAAATGTTATTGGAAAACAAAATTATTAAAAAAAAAAAAAGGCTGCAAGAAAAGACAAAAAGAACAACCCAAATAGGAAAAAGAAAAACAAGGAGACCCACAAACAAATCCTATGACCCAAGAACAGATAGCCGAAAGCCATCCTCCTACCTTATAGAATAACAACAAGTATGCCCCGCTAAAAAGCGCCTCTACCCAAAAATAAATATTGAGATACTTTATCATATCGGTCGACGACTATTGTAATGTATTTACAATTTCGTTTCTTTTTTCTTTGAGTTAAATAACATTTTTTTCTTTTTTTTATTTTCTTTCGCTACGTAGAGATTGAATCCACACTAGAGAAACAGTATTACTGATATATTTTCACACTGTTGCACTTTTGGGTCGTCCACATCGGTGTATGGCCAGATAGTCAATATGATCAGGTTTTATTTGGAACAAAATGTATGAGACGTGAAATGGAAAAATATGCCTTTTTAAAATATTATGAAATATTTTTAATATCTTGACGGATTAAGTAATTGTGTAACTTACTCTCTACTAAATAAAGAGAGAAATACTTTCTATCATTTTGTGACTGCTCGTTTATAGGTGTGGCTATAAATAATTAAAGAGTCAAAGCACAATAATAGTGATATGGACTGAATATCTATCAAGTTTTTGTCAAATTTATCTCTCTCTCCCTACTATTCTTCTATTGAGTTCCTTATAGTCATGGACTGTTTCTAATTGTTTGAGCTTTACTTTTGTAATGACCACACGCACTGTGAGCAAGTAAGGATGTTCGTGATGGATCGTTGCTTTAAGCATGAAGATCATGTTCATGATTGGAATATCGTGAGGCCATCCTGTGGCAAATTTTATATTGGTGTAGTTGGAGATCTGACCAAGAACCACCATAGAAGCTTCCACATATATACCTAGTGAATTTTTCCTTCAGAGACGAATTAGTGATAATTAATCACAGTATATTTGATGAGAACATTAGCAATAGAAAAATAAAATTCTAAGATTAACATACTAGCCTGAACTAATACATTTTTTATTGGCAGCACTAATTAAGGTTTTTAGCCTGAAAAATACTTTTTTTTTGCTAAAACTCGATGCTAGTTTAAAACCAAAATCTTTTTCAGCATCCATTTTTCAATCCAATAATTACATAAATTTTTGTATATCTAAATAATTCAATTCCTTCCGTTTTAATATTATAGATTTGCAATCTAGTTTGGGATGTCTTAGAAATTCTTGATATTTTTCCTTCGATTTGTTAATTCAAAAAAAAAAAAAAATATCCCCACTCATTTATCTATATAAATCATAGAAGGAAAAAAAGTTGCAGACCAATGTTCTTATAAATCATATCTCTTCCAAAAAAAAAAAAATCACTTCAATTTTATATATAATGAAAAATTATAAAAGAAAGAAAAGGATAAGTTTGATTGGTGGGAGGATGAAAATGAGAAAAAAAAAAAAAAGATATACTTTTTTGAAATTCTAAGGGGTGTAACAAGTAGAATGGGGGGTGGTTGAAGAATGTGTGTGTAAAAAGTAAAAATGAGGGTGATTTAGCTATAGGAGCTTTTTTGAAATTTTAAGAGGAGTGTAATAATAAGTAGAATGAGGGTGGTTTAAGAATGTGTGTGAAAAAAAAAAAAAAATTAGTGTCAGTAGATGCACCCTAACCAAATTTGAGTATTCATCGTTTTTAGATGCCGTGGCGCAAAATCATTTGTTGGACAGGGTTTGAGACTGGAAACTTTGGACAGAGGATCCAAGTCCTCTCGATAAGTTGATTTAACAAACAAACTCATCTAAGACCCGCTTATCATTTAATGAAAATGTGAGTCTTTAATCTCTTTCTCTCTTAATTACAAATATAAGATACAAGAATATATTTAATTTAACGTCCATATATAATCAACAAGATACAAACAATTTCGTTTTTGAACTAAATGAGATTATTTTATAACTGATTTGGGAATTTGATTTAACCTATCATTCCTCGAAGTATAATGTTTTGATTTGTGTTATTATCCGTTAAAATCGATGGATTACTTTGTAATTTTCTCTTGTTTTCAGGGACAAGCATTTCATTAAGTTTCCCTTTTTTTTTTTTTTTTTTTTTTTTTTTTTTGTCAAGGAGACTCTCTTTTAAAATTGTGAAGAAACTTTTTTTACTGTCGCAAGGACCCTTTATTCCACAAAATTAAGTACAATAAATCCCTTTTTCGTTTCTTGCTTATTATCAAGGTTAGTGGAATTTTATGCTTTGGTATGCAACTTTAGAAAAGTAAAAATAGCATTTTCAATCCCAAATCATCTTCATTTCCAACATCAACTAACCTTAAACATAAATATTTATGAAACACACGGAGCTCGTTATTTTAAGCCATAAAATTAAAAATGTTTGAGTTTCACAAAAATAGATCGTATTCTTCTAAAGAAGAAGTGATCTTATAATTGCAAGCAATAAAGAAAAGCGCACACATTCATCGACTAAAAATGGTGACAAAGACTGCTATGATGAATGAATTCCGTGCAGTCCAGTTTGGGATGTCTTAGAAATTCTTGATATCTTTCCTTCGATTTGTTAATCCGAAAAAAAAAAAAAAAAAAAAAAAAAAAAAAAAAAAAAAAAACCGCACTCATTTATCAATATGAAATCCAATCTAATATTTCTTATAAAAAATTTAATTATTGATACTCACTTTTTTCTTCTAGAAAAATGACTATCTGAAGAGAGTAGCTAGCTTTTGTAACGGAAATACCCTCCAACATTTTCTTCAATTTATTTCAAAAATAAAAACCATACAATGTAATTTTTTATAATAAATTTTATAATGTTCTTTACATTTTAAGTTGGTAACAAGAATAATATTATATTTCTAGAAATTACATATTTGTTATACCCTGGAATTTTTTATTCTTTTAAACTTTCTTTACATTTTAAGGGTGTGTTTATTGACACCCCTTTTTCTACTTTTCACACACCCCTTTTTCATATTACTAAAATACCTATTAATATAATTACTTTTAAGGACAATAGTATTCTAAAAAAATACTCATCACACACCGCAATGTTCTTATAAATCATAGATGGGGGGGAACCGGCCCTCGCGCGGGGGGCATTTTTAAAAAATTAAAAAAAATAATAATTTCGGTTTTTTGCGACGACTTTTTTAGACTTGTCGTCACTAAAAATAAGATTATTTGCGACGACAATTTGATATGTCGTCGCAAAAAATGATCATATGACAAGAATTTTACAACGACGTATTAGCGACGTCTGTCGTCGCAAATACAGAGTGTCGTCGTAAATACATTTACGACGACACTATGTCGTCGCAAAAAATGTTTTTGCGACCAATTTTTTGCGCTGACAAATTTGCGACGACTTGTCGTCGCAAAAAACTTTATTTGCGACGACATTCGGGTTTTAGCAACGACTTTTTGTCGTCACAAAATCCCCTTTTTCTTGTAGTGCCTTCTTGATTCCAACACGAACGTACCTGCACATTAGAAAATACATCAAAGTGTTGAAGCTCTCTCTTTAAGTGCTTTCTTTCAAGTCTTTTGCTACAAAGATTGGAGTCTTCTTCAAGTTCTTGAGGAACCTCATAGCTTCTAATTGTTGACCTTCTTAGAAACTCCTCAAGAACACTTTTCAATCCTCTTCTAACACCACCTGAGAGTGTTCTGAGAGTTAACTTCATACATTCCTGGAAGTATTGAAGCCTTCAACCGTGGAGTCACTCTCATCTGCGGTCGGAGGGAGTGCTCCAAACGATCTCTACGCTCTCGGAACAACCTACATCAGACTCCTCCATATCACTCTTTTCTCCATCAGCACATTATCCACCAGCGAAATTACGTACTCAAAGCCTCCAAAGCAACCCCCAAACTGCTTTTGGAGCCCTTCTCCATCAAAGAGCCTTATCCATCTCTTGAGTCACTCCTCCATCAACTATGAGTATTTTCGTGATTTTAGCAACAAAGAGAGCCCTAGAACACGTGTTATTCGGCCTAATTTGGGTGTAAGTGAACCACACCACCGTCGGAGATCCTACCATCGTCCTCTACTTTGAAGGCTCGTTAAGTACTTTGGCCACGTTGGACCTGCCACCAACGAGTCAAATATTTACACATACACACCCCCGCCACATCATGCCCTCTGGATCTACCGGATCCCAACACCATGAAATTATTACATTTTTTAATATTAGTTTTCGCATTTTGCTTGATGATATATCCCACAGGTATATATATATATATATATATATTAT